CATCAACCAGCCTCACACCGCCTCCACAAACCCACAGCAAACCAAACACCACCAACCAAAACAACCAAACCCAAACCTCAACCGGCAAGAAACCGGAGAGGGAAAACCTCCACCAACCGAGGCCAGAGAGGGAACCACCTCCACCGCTCGAAGATGGGGAGAAAGAACTAGAACTCCGAGGAGCCTAGAAAGAACCTCACCTCTGCAACCAGAGGGAGGACCTATCAAAACGAACAACAAAAATAGGCTGCTAAAGTAAAAAACGACCGGACGAGCGGCACAAGGCTGCTCGCCGGAAGGAGGAGTTGCAAATCGAAAACCTAGGTTTTAGGGAAAGAGGGGTTTTTTGGGAAAGAGGAAAAAAGGGGACTCAGGAGCTTTGAATCCTTTGAAGTGAAATTCTGAATCCTCAATCTATTTGAAAATGTGAATATGAGTCATTGCTTAATAAAATAGTTAATGTAAAGGCTAACTTGCATAGGAGCTAGACATTAAATGGTTGCGGCTTTGTCCTCTGACTTCAAGACGCATTTGATTTAACGTCTACATTGATTGTTAGTACATGGAGACTTAAATTTAGCTTTCATTTGGTGGAGATTATATGAAAATAGATTTTGAGGATTTTTTTTTAAAAATGTCTGATTAACAGTTATGGATTCAGGTGTAAAATTATTTGATTAAGAGGATGTGAGATTGATAATGAATTGAAAAAAAATACTTAAAGAATCTGTACGAGAGGATCACAAAGTCACTTTTGAATGTTGAGAACCCAAAATACACTGATTGCAAGGTTGGGAAGGTTAACCCTAATTTTCTCCTAAAATTATAGTATTTATTTATCTCTAATTAAAGTCATTTCCAACTTTTTTGGGAGTACTTTTAATTAATTATAAGTCCTGAGTTTTATGAAATGTGTGGACGTCTAACAAAATGTATGCATAATTTGATCAGCTTAATTTAATTTAAACATTGCCTATCATTGAATATGCAACTTATGGATAACTAGAACTTACATGATGATGCCATGTAAATATAACTATGTGGTGAAGAAATTGAGTCAATTGGAATTAATGAAATCGATTTTAAAGACTTGTTAGATAAAAATTATAGAATTCAGTGACTAAATATTAACATTTTAAAGTTCAAGAACCAAAGAATGAATTGTAAAATAAACAAAAAGTCTGTATGCAAACCCACTAAGTGTGTATTCAATTAAAACTTTTTCGAAATCTCTATAAATCTTGTGGTATTCAAATTTTAATGACTTTTAAATTACTAACTTTTAAGCAGAAAGTACTGAAAAAAAATTTCAAAACTTCTCTCTTATTAATTACAAGATTTGGAAGACTTTCACAAAAAAATAAAAATAATAATAATAATTAATTAATTAATATGTATTTTGTTTTCAATATTTCTCTTTTCTTTTTTCCATATACTAAAATTAGAGTTATGATTAAAATTTATTTTTTTCCATTGATTATATTTGTTTTTATTTGAAAGTATACAATGGGTAGAAGTGGTTAAAAAAAAAAAGAAGAATATATTCACCACATATGCTATTTTTTAATTACCATTTTTTTTATTTTTATTTTTTTTAGAAAATAGGGAGACAATAAAAAAAGAGAACAAATAAAATTTGTAAAAAATTATTAATTTTTTAATCACGACTGTTTATAGAAGAGAAGAGAGAATAAAAATATTGAAAGGGCAAATATTCATATTAATAGACATTTTTCTAGAAGTCTCCCAAAATCTCTTGGATGAATGAGAGACAAATTGAGTGATTTTCGATAAATTTGAAAAAAAAAAAAAATCAGAAATGTTTGAAGGGCAATCCCCTCAATCTTCAAGATCATGCAGATAGATTTGCAAGTTTGTTGATGATGATATTCATCGTGCTTTCTCAAAGGATGATATTGCTCAACTCCAAAGAAAGCAAACTAATCACCAACTTTTTCCTGCCACGAGTAAAATCAACTTAATAAAGATGGATGCTCCAAAGGAATCCAACAAGAAGAATTGGAGGTCTTCTTAAGGATGACCAAGGAAAATGGATGTTAGGATTTATGGGGAGCATAGAACAAAACTACGAGCCTAATTATGGAATTATGGGCTATTTTCAGTCCTATCACTCATTAGGACAAATGCTGGAGAAATGCTGGAGATATTTAGTGCTTGACACACATTCAGTTGTGGTAATATTTTTGTTAAAAGAAGCCCAAATTACACAAAATTTCAAAAGAGCTCTACTTGAGGATTGTTGATTCCTACTTTCATCGTTCAATATTGAGATTTTGCACAATTTAAGACAATAGAATAGTTGTGCAGACCACCTTGCAAACATTGCCGAGATGCGAGACAAAATTCATGTTATTCTGAAAAATCCACGTTCTTTTGTTAGTTCTCTTCTTTTGGATGATTTGACATGAGTTGTCCTTACTAAGGCTTGTACATAGATGTTTCCCTATTTTGTTGTTTCTTCTCATGTACAAAAATATAAAACTAAATGGATTGTATTTTCAAAGCCAACCGTATAATTTCTCTCTCAATTTTTCAAGGGATTTTTCCTCTTGAAGTTTTAAGTATATTCGAATCCACTATTTTTTATTTTTTTTTTGTGTGTATCTATGGGGAAGACAAATATTTTTTGCTTTTATAGAGATCATTTTTTCTCCAAAGTTCAAAAGATCCCATTTTAGTTGTACAATGTTTATTTATTGCAGTTTGATAAGGGTATTTTAGTCATTTTGTGACCCGATCATTTTTCATCATTTTGTTGGAATTTCTTGATTAAATTTCAATTTCAAAGTTGATTGATTTCAGTATTTTTGTGACACTTGTTCAGAATCTTTTGTTTGCCATAAGGCATGGTGCACAACATCAAAGTTGATTTGTCAAATTCACATTGAAATATGTCTTGTTCATGTCCAAAGTTGTCAAATATCTCTAAGCATGTTCTTTATTAAGTGTTAGGGTTCTGCATATTTCTTTGTTAAAGGGAGTATTGGGACCTATATATTCTTTTTTCAATCATGTCTTAAACCGGAGCATAGATATTCGTTCTAAGACATGTGGCATGCAATGGTTTTTTGTGATTGAGTGACATTGAGGTTGACAATTATTTCTTTAAGTAACATGAATTATTGGAATTGGAGGGGAAAAAAAACTTCTCTCTTACAGGATTTGTAGATTGATGAAAAGCCTCTTTTTCAAAATTGCAATCCTTATTCGGTTGCTGAGATATAATGTGTACAATAATATTTTTCAAGTTTTGAAAAATAATAGTTTACTGAGTAAAATAATTGATGAGGTAAAAGCATACCTATCACTAAGTTCACATTCTGTTGATATCCTAGGGGGATTAATAAAAATGAAAGTTTTATTACTGAAAGTGATATTGAGGATGTTAGATGTATTTGGAGATATCATCAAAACGATAGCTATCGAGGGAATCTCATAGATTCACTTCAATTTCACGAATCCTTGCATTATGTGGATTAAGTGAGAAAAAACAATAGAAAGTTTTGAAGGACAATCTCCTCAATCCTCACAATCACGCGGAAATATTTCGAAGTTGGTTGATGACATTCATTGTGCTTTATCAATCAACGGTTTATGTGTCACGGGTTTTCCACAACGTGAAATTACCGCAAATGTACGATATCAAGTTTTGTAATATAGTAATGGAGTTAGAGTGTCGAACCCACATGGATTGATGTCTGATTTTATACTAAGTACTATAATTATNTTGCAATATAGTAATAGAGTTAAGAGTGTCAAATACACATGGATTGTAATTTAATTTTGTATTAAGTACTATAATTTATGTAACATTTATTTTATCTAGATGAATGAGTTATGAATTAATATTGTTAACTAATCTAACGATAATTTTGTTGACGAATTCAATGAATACAAATTATATGAATTTAATCAAAATGAAAAAGTTTAGGGAATGAGTTCACCTAATTATCAAATATGATTCTCAAAAACTTAGTTATCTCTAATCAATTTTTCATGTTTATAAGCAAGAACCCTAATGTAATTCTACCACATCTCTTGAGTGTCGGATAAAAATTAATCCTAGAAATTAATTTCAATATCTTTATTTTGAATTAAAATCTAGAAATTATAGAGTTCATGGAGTAAACTTCATAAATCCTATACTTTCTCTCGAAACCTACAAAATCTATGTTGTGTCAATCCTATGATCACGCCTAAATTCCCCTCTCTCGAGTTTCGAAATTGACTGGCATCTATTCATTCAATTATTGATCAGGTAATTGAAAGCATTAATATCATGACACAATCAAACATACGTGGAAAATCAAACATAAATAACTATAATATAATTAAGAGAAAATTACCTAGAAACCTACTTTTAAAGTTTCATTTTCAAAAAACAGGTGGATTAATTTTTATTTCACAAATCAAGTGATAATTAAGTTTTAATAATTACAATTAATAAAAAATTAATTACAATATATAATTAACGGGTTTTGCTAATTCATAACCCAACTCACCTCTCTCTCTCTCCCCCCATTTCTCCCAACCTAGCCTCTTTTTCTCTCTACATTTCTACCAGCCCGTCGCCTTCTTGAGAATCTCCGACGAATCACCCACCACCTATCCATTGCACAGATCTATCACTTCGTTCGTCGTCGTCTCCCAGCCGTCGGCGTTGGTACCATTCGAAGATGGCGGTGGTTGGTGCTACCGTTTCTCTCATCTTTAAATAGACTTGGCGGCGCTGTGAAGGTGGCACTGTGAACTTGGATCGGACAAAGGACCTAGGTTTCGTGGTGATGTCGTGGCCACCACAAGTGGAGGTGTTGAATAATAAATCTATTGGTGGGTTTGTGTCGCATTGTGGGTGGAAATGGGTGTTGGAAGCAGTGTGCGCTGGCGTCCCCATGGTGGTGTGGCCTCTTTATGCTGAACAAAAGTTTAACAGGGTGGTGTTAGTGGAAGACTTGAAATTGGCTCTGCGAATTAACAAATCAGAAGACGGTTGTCACTGCTGAAGAGGTCGAGAGTCGAGTAAGAGAGTTGATGGACTCAGACACGGGTGAGTCACTCAGAAAGTGCACCAAAGAAAAGGAGGCGGAGGCAAAGGCAACGATCAGTGAAGGTGGTTCCTCCACTGTTGCCCTGGCCAATTTAATCAAGTCATGGAAACTTGGTTGATAATATCTCGACAAAATGATGCCTGAAACTGTCCAACGACTGAGTTCTTGAATCTTCGAGCATGAATTATATTCTGGTACTGGATTTAATGATACTGGGGATTTACATGTACCAAAATTACTACCAAATTTGTTCACTTGCGTACCTCTGGTTTTCATTTTCTGTGTTCTTTCGTATATAAATATAACCTTTCTTTGCATTTCTTTGAACACTTAAGTTTCATTGGCTGGCTGGTAAGAAATTCTTTTAGTTTATATGAAACAATACTTTTAATTAAAAGTCTGGGCATGTATGCATAATGCACAAATATAATTGTTGAAAATTTAAATATTTTATGTTCTTTTTTTGCAGAGGTATTCTGGTGGATATGGCGTTGTCTGTTGAAGAAGATACACATGTTGAAGAAGAAGTCACACAAGACGAAGTTGAAGTTTCTGATAAAGAAAGGGAAGAGCACCAAATGCCCCCACATCCCACTGAAAGAGAAAAACAAAATCAAGAAATCTTTCTAAA